TTAAATTGAACAAGATCACCGGTTCTCGTATTTCGCATACACGTTCTTGAAAAAGTAAAAGGAAACACAATAATTTTTTATTTTATTTTATTTTATTATTTTTTATTTATAAAACTAAACTAAAAAAAAGTAAAATTCAGATTAAAATTAAAATTAACTAAACGTATCAAAAACAGTAGTCCCTGACAACGGCGCTAAAAATTTAGTTGTTTGACAATTCGCAAATGAACGGGATCGTGAACAAATATAATAGTGTGTAAAGTGTTGAACCCACGAGAACTATGTGTTTTATCGAGTTAAAGTTAAGAATACTCTTAATCGAATAATAATAATAATAATAATAATAAATAAATAAATAAATAATGTATGCCTAATTTATCATGTACTAGAAATTAAAGTAAAAATTTCTCAAATTTTTGAGATGCATTGTTAGGATATAGAATTCCCTTGTTAGCTAAGCTACCCAATTTCTCTCTCTCTCTTCCCAAAGATACCGACAAATTTTCCTCCGTTTCTCTCCTGCTTTTTCTTCTTCTCCCCTCATTTGCTGCGTGCGTCTGTATAAATATATATGGAAAAAGCTATATGTACTACACACTTTCCCCGAATTGTTTACTTCCTGCTGACATGGCACTCACAGTCAAACATAACTGCACTTGGGGGAGAGAAATCACGTGATAATCTTGTTATTTGAAATAAACCCCCAAAATTGAAAAATTTCACCTCCTCCCGTTGCACTCTTCTCTCACGATCCATGTAATTGCTGGCACACCGACGATGAAATCAAACCTATGAAATCGCGGGTCGAAGTCATACCAGTGAAATCAAACCTCCTTCGAATTTATTGTGGGTTGCCTGAGATAACTGTGAAATCGCCAGCACATTTTTTGTGAAATCAACATTGAGTTACGAGGGATTTCACTTACATCGATGATATTATGAAGGGTTGTTTAGTAGCATTAGACACCTTTGAGAAGAGTACTGGTAGAGGTGGTAAGAAGAAAGGGCCATCTCAATTACGACTTTATAATTTAGGCAACACATCCCCTATTCCTGTTTCAAATCTTGTGAGCAGAGCATTTTGGAGAGATTACTCAAGTTGAAAGCAAAGTGGTTGATTATGAAGTTGCCAAGGAATGGGGATGTGCATAATTAATTTGCTCATTGATGGATAATTGGATATGTTCTTTGTGTTTTTTTTTTTTTTTTATGTAGCTTATGAAGACAGAATTTGGTAATTTCTGTGTTGGAAGTTAAGAAATGCCGAAAGGATTTCTTAATCGAATAAGAAGATTTCAAGAATGTAAAAATTAGAAACTATCTAGCAGTATACTTTATGTTCCTTCCACTTCAATTTAGACTTTCCTGATGCGAAGTCAGTTGGGCTAATTTATTGGTTCAAGTAAATATTTTTGCCTTGTTTGAAGTCTGTTTGTAATAGAAAAATTACTTGACAATATACTCTTAACCAAGCATGTTCAAAGAGAAGAAATAAAGAAAATGCAAGAAAACAGATTGATAAAGTTTCGGACGAGAAAAAGATTGGTATCTTGGCCATGTCCAAAATCACTCAAAAGAACCCACTTTTTACTTCAACAATACAAAATCAAAACAATCACTCTTTTTTAGCCAAAAATTGAACAACAAGAGGAAACAAACTATGGCATATATTCTGCCAAATCTTTCTCCAACTCTACTTCAATCTTAAGAAAAATCCCCGGCCATTGTTTTTCACCAACAATGTACTTCTTCTCCTCTTAGTTCCCCATCCCCAGTGTTAAGTTCTTCTGTTAATACTCAGACCAAGCTCGAGCCGCCTCCACCTTGGGGTCTAGCGCAGGCGAACCGGACCCTAGGTGCGCAAGATAAGAACCAGAACTAGAAGGATGAATTTTATGTTAACCTAGGTTTAGCTGTATGGACACTTTGTGAAGACATTCCTTTAATCTTCACCAAAGACCTTGATTATGGCATTTACAAGTACCCTCTCCGCATCAGCGTGTGTGGCAGGGGGGTAGGGAAATAACGGGTTCGCCGACGTGTGATCTTAGTCGTCCAAGTCGCCGGAGATCGATTAAATTTTCTTGCTGCTCCATTTTCGCCGGACTGGGAGCTTTTTCACTTTGGAGCTAACAAATGGAAATGACAGAATTGTTAGGAAAATGGCGCCTTTTAATTGGTTTTCTCTCTCTTTTATATTTTTGTGTTGAATTGTCAAAGCCCAACCACGTCAGCAATAAGTAAAGGCTGTAGTAATTACGTGAGTACGTCTAGCATATATATATATAATTTTTTTTTTTTTGGGTCTAATTTTAAGTCCAAGTTGAGGCCCAATTAAATCCAATACTCAATTAAATTAATGATTGCTTCCAAATCCTCCATCCTGTCATACAATACAAGTTAGTCATTGTACTTTAATTTTTGCCCCTTTTTGCTGTCTTTTGCTTCTTTCCTTCAATTCCCTTTTCATCCATAGAGTTTCACATATTAAATTCTAAATAAAATAATTTAGAATATATTTTGTTAAAAGAACTATCAAATATCGTTATTTTAGATTCCGAATAAGTGCATAAAATACACTTATCAATAACTTATCAAAACTTGGACTTAAATCTTAAAAGATTAACTTCGCAAAGAGGTTAATTTGTTTTATTTTAATGAGCTTAAGTTTAACGTATGATAACACTAGCGTATTCAAGCAACATGGTGATTTCGAAAAATTAAAAATAAAAAGTTAAATCGCATTTGATTTCCTAATACTATCGAATGCAGTGTTTTGATGTTTTGTGTCCTAGCTCTTTATATTAGGAAAAACTAGTAAAATTGTAATAGTGCGTTTAAAATCCATTAATTTGTTTAAGTAAATAAATTAACTGTTTCTGCAGTTATTCCAAAAAAATACTCATTTTTTAATTCCAAATTATGCAATTTTTAGTTGTGTATGATTCCCAACTTAAATTAAAGTGTAATATTGTTATGCAATATATTTTTTTTAAATGAAATGAAATAAAAATGGCTAATACACATTCAAAAGCTAATATTTTTAAAATTTATAGGGACATTGAGTTGAAATAGAGAGAGGGTAAAAAGTCAAAAAGTCGAACCAGGTTACACCAAGATTAAATCAAGAGTGAAAAATAATTAATTCATTAAAATAATTTTAAATTTTGAAGAAACATTGATTTTGCCTGATTGATAAAAAGAAGATAATAGATATTATATACTATACATTTTAGTCAAACGACTTGGGTTTTCTTCTAATGCCAATGTTAAACATTTTAACCCTTAGCAATGGGGATGAACAAAAATCATCAATTTGTCAAATTTAATCGAAATTACTTATTTTATCCGAAATATATTATTTATTACTTCATTTTATTAGTTCAAATTTTTATCTTTTTTTCTTTTTTTTTTTTCCAAAAACTATTACGAGCCCGGAAAATCGTTACGGGTTGAACCTCTGATTGCCCGGTTTAACCAAAGTCCATCCGTTTTCGGTTGGGACCCGGTTCAGTTAGAACCGGACGTTCCGGTCCGTTTTCAATAACATGGTTTAAAAGGAATAAAAGAAAATCGATTGCCCCATCTGTATTTGACCAACTCTGGAACTAACTTTAACGGCATCGGAAGCATCGTAAGGTACGCATCTCTTTCTCAATTTTATGTGTTTTTTTTTTTTGGGGGATTAAATTATGGAATTCCAAGATGTTGCATCGATTATTCCGCTCAATTTCTTATCTGAGGCTGTATGTTCTGTTGAAATTTATCGCGTCTATAGCTGATTTCAATGTGACGTTTTCAGTATTGATTAATTAGCGTGACTGGGTAAACTTACTCGAATCTTGAGTCTTGAGTCATCTATTGAACTGTAGTCTGTCTTATAGTTGCGTGCACCATTCTTGAAGCGATGATGTAATATGCCTTCAATATGAGCTGAAATAGATTGTGGAACTCAAGCTTAACTACCGTCACTTGATTATATTAAATTTTTTCATTCAATTTTTAGTGTTATAAGTATTTGATTTTAACAGACGTTATTATTTTTCACATAAATTCCTGAATCTAATGTGTTGCACCTCGTCTTGCTAGGTGTTTGGATTCTTTCTTGTTAGTCCTATATTAGCTTTAATTCATGTTCTATCGGATATTTTTGTTGGAGGGACGACCTTTCTTCACCTAAACTAAATTAAACTGGAGAGAAAATCAGACCGGCCAGAATGGTGGACCATGGGAAGGAAACCACTCTTCAATTTGCACCATTGCAGAGTGCCGTGGATGAGGGTTTTTGGCATAGGTTGTCTTCATTGAAGCTCAACAAGCTAGGACTCGATGAGTCTCCAATTCCAATAACTGGTAAACTGTCTGTTACATTTAACTTACATTTACATGCTAGGAAGTCTTCCTGTCTTTTTGCTTTTTATAGCCTGTCATTAGAAGGTTTCACTTTGTTGGAGGGAATTTTGCATCTTGTGATATTTTAGGATTATTTTCTGTCTTGATAACCAGGTAAAGATCAAACTGAATATAACACAAATCATGCTTGGCCCTAGAGTATGCTTGCACACATTGCAAGTGTAGGGGTTGCTAAAGCTAGAGAGAAAGGGTTCATGCTGATCTGTGGATCTACCTGCTGGCATTGTTTTCTTTGAGGGAAACAGGGTAGTGTAAACAAGAAAGTGATGGGAAAATGTGTATTTTCCATTTATGAAACACGTTATTGTCAATACTTGCATCATGAAAAGTATGTATTAACCAGAGTTATTAAGTTTGTGAATTATAAAATATAGATGGAAGCTCTTAGGTACAAGGTGTTTGCATAAATTTTAACAGTGCTTAATGCTTTGCCAAGGCTTGAAAGTGTTAAATTCTATTGGACATACTTTCTTATTTGTCAATCCTGGAGAAAATGTAACTTCGTTTGAAAATTTATAAGAAACATGATTGTATGTAATTTTGACAGTACCAATAATGGATGATGTGAAAAAAGGATGGCATTGACTATTGGGTAATGAAAATATTTTTGTGGGTGTGTGGCACACTGAGGTTCTTAGAAGGGTTTTCATATGGTTAGATGGCTGTTTTTAGCATTAAAGCAAAAAAGAGTTTTGGAAGGCGAGAGGCAGAGAGAGTAAGTCAGGGCCATAAAGTCTTGTATGAGATCCTAACAAGGTCATGTCATACTCAATTATCTCTTAATCTAGGTTTTTTGGCTCTTTAATCATTGTTGTAGTTCACAATATGCATTCCATGCCTTGTTATCTATATATAGGTACTGAATAATATGATACACTACCATAATTTCACTTTTTGTGTGGATAGTTTTGACTGGGCTATATCGACTACGGTGCAAACACAGTGAAATAATGGGTGCATAAAAACAAGTGGTCTGCCAACCATGAACTGGTCTTAAACCTTTGCTATAGTTATATTTCTTGTATTTCTTTGTTTCCTATCTCTGATCTCACTCCTGATTAATAAAAAGCATAATATCATGTCATGATGTGAGCATATAGTATTGCTTCTTCTGATTTCATGTCAGGTTATTTTGCACCATGCTCACATCATCAAGTGTCAAATCATTTAACTCTTCTTGCCGAATCTTTACCTACTGAATCAAGTGAACAATCATCGGTGCCAGAACCAAGCCGTGGGAATAGGAATAGGTGTTCTGTTCCTGGCATTCTCTACAATACAAATACATATGAAGGCTTCCAAGCTCTTGACAAGCAGAGCTTACTTGAGGCAGAAGCGGAGAAGGTAGCTTCATTGTCCATTTCAATATGCAATTTATGTCTTACATTATTCTCAGTAATGAACTTTTCAATACTTTCCATGCCATACTTGAAACTACTAGTGTAACCAGATAAAAGGCGGATTACCCAGGTGGTGAATATGCATCTCATATCACCTTATTTCTCCTTAAATGTCAGATCTGGGAGGACATTCATTCTGGAAAAGCTGAGGAGGATAGCAGAATTCTTTTAAGATTCATTTTTATTTCATTTGCAGACTTAAAGAAATGGAGCTTTCGTTACTGGTTTGCTTTCCCTGCTCTAATGCTTGATCCTCCTGCAACCTTGGCTACTTTGAAGCCAGCTTCCCACTCGTTTAGCTTAGAAGAGGTGATACCAATGTTAATAATATTGAGAATATTTTTAGCTGCTCATTCATACATTGCTTTTAATTTAAAAGTTATTGTTGTGGCTTATAGGCTGAGTCCCTAGCAGCTGCTTGTAACGAGTGGCGTAACTTGTCCTCAACAACAGGTAAAAGATTTCTTGAGCATTTGTTGATCCATTGTCAATGTTTTTCTTTGTATTGGTGCTTTAAATCCTCTAGTCTCTTGCAGATATTCCATTCTTCCTGGTTTCTATTGATTCGAACTCAATTGCTACGGTTAGGCATCTGATTGACTTTGAAGATTGCCGAAGTAATGGTCATAAGGTCTGTCAATATAATTCCACTTACATATTAGGAAACCTATATCTATAGGATAATAGTATTATTTATTAATTAAAATGACTGAAGTCCTATTACTGACAAGAACAAATGGAACTCTATATTAGCTTCAATTGGTCATAATGGAAGTAACATTTAATTAACGTAAACGCACTTCTACATTCCATGCAGGTTCTGTTTGGGTTTTATGACCCTTGTCATCTTCCAAATAATCCCGGTTGGCCTCTTCGAAACTTTCTATTATATATTCATGTAAGATTGGGACTTGAGAAAGTTCCATTTTTGTGCTACCGCGAGAACCGTGGTTTTGCGGATCTTGGACTGTCCTTGGTGGGTGAAGCATTGATATCAAATTCACAAGGTAGAGTAGTGGTAATTGAGGAACAACTCTTTTTGTGATTCCCTTGTCTTATATATTTAGGGCCTGTTTGAGCCCCATTTTTTTGTATAAAATGCATTTTGGAATAGTAGATTGATGGATAATGCATGGTTAAAAATGAAGGAAAAGATTTTTGGGTTGCGTGTAATATTATTTTATTGAAGAATGTGAGGTTGAAAAGAAGGTAGAAAAATGAATTTTGAAAAAAAAAAGAGAATCAAACAAGGGCTTAATTGCAATTATTATATGATCAGGAATTCCTGAAAAATGTGAACTTCTTTGTTTAGGTTGGAAAACCAATCATAAAATGCCAAATGCTGTGGGTTGGGAAAGTAACAGAGGAAGAAAGGTTCCAAGATTTATCAGCCTTGCCAACAATATGGATCCAACTAGGTATCTATATAAATTATCACTTCACCTACAGAACAGTATTTTTCGTATTTTCCTTACTGCTTTGTGGCTCATTATTAACAGGTTGGCCATAGCAGCTGCAGATTTGAACTTGAAGCTAATGAGATGGCGTGCCTTGCCTTCATTAAACCTCAATGTCTTGTCTTCGGCAAGATGCCTCCTCCTTGGAGCTGGCACACTTGGATGCCAAGTTGCTCGAATGCTTATGGTTAGCATTTGAACATTCAAGACTCATAGTTAAAATTATATCATTGTTGAGCTTGGTAATGAAAAGCTTATATTTTGCAGGCATGGGGTGTCAGGAAAATTACCCTGCTTGATAGTGGCAAGGTGGCTATGTCTAATCCACTACGGCAGTCCCTGTATACCTTGGACGACTGCTTGAATGGAGGTGAATACAAGGTGACTGCAGCAGTGGAGAGTCTTAAACGAATCTTTCCTGCAGTTGTAAGTGGTTTCTGCTTAAATATATTTATTGGTTTTATTTGTTCAACAATTGAATCTGAATTATTATCATTTTTTTTCTCAGGAAGCAGAAGGTGTTGTGATGGCCATTCCAATGCCCGGGCATCCTGTACCTTGCCAGGAAGAAAATAGTGTTATTGAGGAATGCAGACGACTACTCAGTTTGATTGATTCTCATGATGCTATCTTTTTGCTAACTGATACACGTGAAAGTAGATGGCTCCCAAGTCTTCTTTGTGCCAGTGCTAACAAGGTTTATCTCTTTAGTTTAATCCTATTTTCAGTTCAAGAATGAAAATTTTATCCCTCGTGCTACTCCAATGCAATCTTTTTTGCATATTTCCTGTGCTTTTTGTTTTTTCTTGGTGATACCTTGGTGTCATCTCGTTTGGGATTTCCAACTTCAGATAGGAAATCATGTTTTCTCAGTATACTCCTTTTGAAGCAAACTTGTTTCCTTCATCTCAGATCACTATTACAGCAGCTCTAGGGTTTGACAGCTTCCTAGTTATGCGTCATGGAGCTGGTCCTCTGAGCTCTAACCATGACAAAAAAGCAGAAACTCTGACTGATTTATCTGCTCAAATGGGAACTGTCTCCCTCGACGACAATGGGACTAGACAAAGATTGGGTTGCTACTTTTGTAATGACGTGGTTGCTCCAGTTGATGTAATACTTAAAGCAAACTGATATAAGTTTTCACTTTTCACATTCTTTTTATTTCAACCTCATTGATTATTATGGCCTTTGTGCAGTCAACCACCAATCGGACCTTGGACCAGCAATGCACTGTTACTCGTCCAGGGCTTGCTCCTATTGCATCATCACTTGCAGTTGAACTTCTTGTAGGAATCCTGCATCATCCCTCTGGGTAAGGTCTACAAATCGTAATCCTACACGAAAGTTGAGAACTTTAAAATAGAGAATTAGTTTGTTATACTCTTCTTTTAAAGCATTGTACTTGTGTAGGATATTCACCAAAGCTGAATTTGCGAACTCAACTGATTCTTCAAGCACTGAGCAGCCTCTTGGTATCTTGCCCCATCAGATTCGAGGCTCCCTCTCTCAATTTTCTCAGATGACACTTGTGGGTCATGCCTCGACTAGTTGCACAGCATGTAGCTCCACTGTAAGTATCAGCTCCTTAGCACGCACTTAAAAGCAGTAGTTGTATATTTTGCCAATCTTGTTTCCTGGTCATTTTCTTGGTTATGACTCCACTCCAATTGATCATTTTTCTTTCTTTTTACACCAATTGTGCAATATGGATTCTGAAACATGTTTTTGAAGCATTTTTGACATTTATTCTGCCCGAAATTGCCTCGTTGATGTCTCGTCTTTCATTTGTGAAATTTAATGTTGTTCAGGTGGTATCAGAGTTTCAGAAGAGGGGGATGGAGTTCATACTTGAAGCCATTAACCATCCTACATATCTGGAGGACATAACTGGATTAACAGAGCTGATGAAGTCCGCTGGCACTTTTGACTTAGACTGGGATAATGAGGATGATGATGAGTGTGTCGAAATCTAATTGCCTTACCTTGTATATATAAACACACACTGGACTAGAATATTACTAATTAATTGATTACAATTTCTTAGTTTAATCTTGGCGGATTTGTACACTTTGGAAATATAAAATGATTTTATCATTATTATTTTTGCTTTGAGCATTGGGAAAAGATAACGCCATTTGAGTTCGTTTACTTTATAACTTCAAATGCGCATATATTTTGAAATAAACAATCAAAAATTAAAAATATTATCATTGTGTGTGACACTTATTAATTTTTTTTTTAAATTTTTCTCTTTTTTAATTATAATCACACATTTTCCAAATAAAATAATATTATACATAAATTTAAAATTTTTCATTACTTTTTAACAACACATTTTTCCATCGATTACTATTCAAAAATTTATAATACATCCAAAAATGAGTACCAAACGTAAGCTATATATCGTAACGAGAACATAATAGTGTGGATGTTATATGATCGAGTACGGTCCTTTAGACTCTAGGTCCTACACCGGCTACACGGCTAGTGGAGGGCTTAGGCAGGGCTTACCACTGTAGCGACCGGCGCTATGGCCGTGGCATCTTTTATAATGGTACATTTTAATACAAAATTTAGAAAATGCTATATGCAAAAGGTTAATTTTATTAAAACAACATTTTTAACTTAAAGAAAAAGGGACCCACTGGGTATCGAAAGGTGGCCCTGGCCAGCGTGGAGTCATTGGTTGAAACTAGAAATTAATAGGATCTGTGGAATTGGGCAGAGATGACGGCTCTTTCTAATTCTAGAGGCTTTGTAATTTCCCCAATTCTACCTTCTTCAACGAGTTTCGGTTCGATCAATCTTGTCAATTTCCCATTTTCCCATTACAAACTGAGAAATTCAAATAAGCCCTCCTTTTTCTGCTCTCCAATTTGTCTTCCTGTTACAGTTACGACGGCGACAATGGCCAGTGATCAAAGTACGGCGAAAACCGTTAACTCCGTGCCAAATTCTTCGATGAAGCTCCTATTTGTCGAAATGGGTGTTGGCTATGATCAACATGGGTAACTTAATTCCCTCATCTCTCACCACTCACGCGTTCGCACGCACGAAGACACATTTTTATGTATGGTGTTCAATGTGAAAATTTTGATGGACAAACAGGCAGGATATTACATCAGCTGCAATGCGGGCTTGTAGGGATGCTATCTCTTCTAATTCAATCCCTGCTTTCAGGAGAGGTATTTCCTCTTGTTCCTATTTGTTGTTTTAGTGATATTTTTTGGGCTATCCGTATATTCATGTGAGTTTATGTATCCTGTATATGAGATTAGTAGTGATGTAATAGATACATGACCTAAATTATTGTTTTTCCTTGGTACCTGGTTGGTATAGAAGTATTGGGGCTCACGATTATTGTATATGTGGAGTTGTTTGCTGAAGTCTATCAACTATAAGTTACAATTGTTTGATTTGTGTGTATTGAATTCATGTCAAAGAACTAACTTGATTTATTGGAATGTTGTATTTTGTAATTTTCTGGGTGCTGGAATCGAGATGGTAGGAGTATCTTTCTTCCATTTTTCCTATTTTCAGGAAGAAATGGTTTTTTTGGAAATCTGATCAGCTCCTATTTCCTCACATAAATTGCTACAATGTTCAACTTGAGATTTCGATCCTGTGAATGGGATTTTTGGAAGCATGCTTGCTATGTATCCAACGTCTGTCATTTTGCAGAAAGTTCAAAAATTCTAGAGCTTGTTTCACGTTACATTTTGTCCATAAAATAGGAATTCATGTGTGAATAATTTATCTGTTTTTACTTTTTTCAACGGAACAACGGTAATTTGTTAGTTATCCTGGCTCTTGATCAAGTTTCAGTCTTTACCTGCAAGAACACTGGAAGGATGTAAACTATATCAATTTTATATATGTAATTGCAAGATCATATATCCATTGCCCCTATTTAGGTATGTGCTGCTACATTATGACTTGGTTTGGTGTAGGCTGTTACATGTTGCTTGTGGCTGGATTTGTTGCCTTGATTATTTTCATATGATGTTATCTCCTTTTATAAGTTAAATTATTGCCTCAAGTGGGGAAATATTTTACTTTTTGTTTTGGGGGTGCAGGGTCTATACCTGGTGTTTCCTTTGATGAGATGAAACTGCAGATTAAGCTGGGAGTTCCTCAACCTCTCCAGCATCTTTTGGATATTGAGAAGGTCAAATCAGTTTTCCCTTAGTAAGTATCTTACACTTTGAGTTATAATATTTTCTTCATAGCTGTTCATCATGGGTAATTGAGTATCTCTGACCATTTTTACTTAACACAGTGGAGCAATATCAAATGTTGAGGTTGTGGATGGTGGTCTAATATGCTCAAGTGGTGTGCATGTGGAAGAAATGGGAGATAAGAATGATGACTGTTACATTGTAAATGCAGCTGTTTATGTTGGTTATTAAATTTCCATGTCAAATCAGAACAAAAAAAGTTAGTTTCCTCTTCCATTCTTCCCCTTTGTACTTCAATCCTGTCAAATTTCCATGCACTGTTATGCTTCAAAAAATAATTTTGTTTGCGTCTCCAAGTGGTTTCTGTTTTAATGGTTGGACTTTTGGTTTTTACATGTCAATTTTCAATCAGGAACTATTGTTTTGCAAATTGTCTACGAATCGAGTATTTCATTGATTAGCAGGTTTGTAAAACTGATTACTTTTTCATGCTCGTATCTGACCTTTTTCTTTGGGGTGGTGGTTGGGGGGGGGGGGGGGTTGNGGGGGGGGGGGGGGGGGGGTTGTGGAACCCCTACCTGTTTCTTGAATAATTATGAAGACAGAACAGGTTGATTTTGCACACATGATAGCATTCATTTCGGCACTAATGTTTGATTATCAATGAAAATAATGTCTCTTTTGGTAGATCTAACTGCAATTCCTGCAACATGTTCTCTGTAATTATGTATTAGCTCCATGGTGAGTTCATTTGATCAATAGTAACGCTCATAAAATAATGTAAACTACTAGATCCCTTCTTAATTTCTTCTGAATTTTTCAGACCCAAGCTAATTAAGATTCTAATCAACATAAAATTATCATTGCAAGGCTGATATTTTCACTAACTAGTAATTCAGCTATGAAGATAAATTATCAGAAACCTCTTGAATAGCTGGTTAATTCGAGAGAATATGAATTCTTAGTCTAGATATATCTCGAAGCGTTCCTGCTTGAAATCAGGCAGCTACTATAATTTAAAATAGTCGTCCTCATAAGAGAAGTGCTGCAAGAAAAAGTTGGTTCCAAGTGTTGGGCAATCCAGGAAGGCACCAGTGGTTGCAACATATACTCGAATAGATTCCGTATTTCATAGGGTGAACATCTTTCCTCAGCCGTGAGAGAGTCGTGATATCAATCAGGTAAATTGGTTTCTTTACTGTACTCAATACTCTGATGACAATGGCTGCAACTGGCGGTGACCGTGCTGAATAGGCTGATCCTTTGAGCGGTTGTTGCACCCCAACACAGTTTGATTTTGAACCTCATACCTGGCCCCTGTTTCACATATTTAAGGCGATATGAGCAATGGAATTTCCAGGCTGTTAAGTAAAAGAACTTTGATCCTCTACACGAGGCTGTCCATGATTATTCTGAATAAGTGTATGTTTCAACTCTTGGTCAATCTTCTGTAAGGATAAAAATGCGAAGAGGGAAGTTATCCCTTTGTTAAAAGGTATCATAGAATGCTTACTGATAGGGAGTGGGAGAAATTCCCTGGAAAAAGACTTGTTTTATAGGGGTCGATATTCTGCTCAACCCATGAGCTCAAGTTATCAAACATTGGGAAAATGCCACAAACCTGTCCATATCTTTGGTTACTTTGGAACCATCTTGATTCTTGAATGAAATCCTTTCAGAAATGCATAAAATGGCTATGGTGAGAAAGGATCATGCTTAATCATCTTCTTTAATTTTTATATTGATCCTTAGTGCTAGGACTATTCTGTACGTTCTATACTAAACCCATATAGTGTGAGAATTTCCAGTATAGAAAGAGGAGGTAAAATATTTCTCATGGTTGAGATTTTCCGGTATGTGTCCACCAGCGCCATGTGTTGAATCAGCATATCCATTCCTCTCCGTGCATTGCCTTGTTGAATGTTGTCCCATTTAAACACTCGACCTTTTGCTTCGTGCATTACATCCGCCAAGTATGGTGTCCAATAAAGAAATATGGTAACTTCTAGGTAAATCATATGACAAATCATAATTGAGCAAATATTAAGTTGATGAGATTAAGGATTGTATTGATTGTAAGTGTTTATAAGCAGTTGGTTCTACAATAATAAGTGGACAGTAATTTGTGAGTTCTACGGATAAAAAATATGTTCGACCAGCTTAAATTAAAATTTGAGCCGGGCTAAACCTACACCCAAGTAATCTGACCTGAAACGTAACCCTAGAGACTCTCGAAGGTGGTTATAGCATTGGGAACAGAAGCATGAAGCATGCATTCTAAATATTCCACTGGTTCAAACTCGATGAGTGAGCTACAATCATTATTTTCTTTCCTATCCATCTCTTTAGAAAGTCAGCTCCATAAAACCTTAAAGCAAACATTATTAGTTGGCGATTATGAGCGTGTGTGAGGATGATTTAAAGGTCACAAGCATGAGTACTGAAGGTACTTTTTATCAGGATGGCCATATTTTTTGGCAATCGAACCCGGGATCAATATAGGGACAGCTTGAAGATTCGTAGAGGAAATGAAGAATTGGACACCCAGTGGCCACGAAACAAATTGCATCCTCTTGCAATGCAAGTTGTCCACTCGCATTGCAAAGTAACTCGGCCGTTACGTAGGAAAAGAGTACTGCATTACAAGGCTTTGTACTCGAAAACCATTGTCTAAGATTTTAATTAGATATACTTGGAACGGTGAAGAAAAAATTGACCTTAGTGGATTTGTTTTTATACTAGGAACATCAATAAATTGAATCCACTGATATATTACATTAATTTGGACTTTGTATTCCAAATATGCAGCAACTCTATACAATGAGATTGGCGAATATGAGGAATGAATAATTCTTTGAATTTGAGATTTCGTAAACCTGAGTTATATTTAATGCATTTTTGGCATGTAAAAATAGTAAAATTTTCAATTTAGATCTTGGAGTTGTGGTTGGTGGGCTCGAATTAACTGTAACAAGTTCTAACATCCTCTTTCAACACTAAGGAAATATACTTGGTCTAAATCTACTCGAGAACATAAATTCGTCATATCTCAAATTTTAGTTGATTAGGGTTACGAACTTAAGGTCCGCATATATCGAGTCAAACAATGACTATGTGCATGTACAAAGTAAAGACATAACAAGCAATAACTCTTGTATTAACAACTTTTCTGTTTTATATTAGTGCCAATAGAAAAATAATGGTACAATAACCTTACTACATAAACAGTGATTTTCACTTCGAAGAATCCCACAAATGTACAACCAATCTATAAATAATGCAACAGATAAAAAAAAACTGCAGCTAAGCGATCTTCTTACACTCTGAGAGCTGCATACAAAAGCTGATTCCAAATATCGGGCAATCCCGGGAGGCACCAATGGCTACAATCAACACCTGAATGATCACCACTATAAGCCGATGGATGAGCATCCTTCCTTAATTGGGAGAGTGTTGTGATGTCGAGTAGGTATACTGGTTTCTTGATCTGGCTCAATACTTTGTTAACAACAGTAACTTCTGGTGGTGTTCCTGCTGGATATGTCGACCCAGATAATGGTAGTTGTTCACCATTGCAGTTCTTTGATGCTGAACTCCAATCTCTACCCCTGTAATTACTCAATTCCAATCAAATTTTACGCGTTTTTCTTTTATGGGAATTGTTTGTTGATAAGCTTTCTTGATTTACTTACTGATAGTGAGTAGGAGAAATTCCTTGGAAGAAAACTTTAGTCTTGATGGGATCAACATTGAGGTCAACCCATCGGCCCCAGGTTGTCAAGCCTTTGTAGAAGGCCACTAGTCTGTCCATGTCTTTGGACACGGTCGAGCCATCTTGTACATAGTCCCACCTGCAACAACGATCATGGTGTATATAGGTATGTGCATAAGTGACTGTGAGCGCATGTTTGTGCGGATATTTGTGAAGAAGGGAAAGGGAAATAGAGTAGAATACGCTTGATCGTTTCCTGTGTGAGTCCACCAATGCCATGTATTAAAAATGAGCATGTCCATTCCTTTCCATGCATTGCCTTGTTGAATGGAGTCCAATTTCAAGACTCGGCCTATACTTTCTCGTGTTATATCTACTAAATATGGCGATCTGTAAAGATAAATAGTAACGCCATAGTCCTGCACATAATATAACAATTTATTTATATCATTTCCTTTTTGTCGAGGGAATGATGGATCTGGTCTCGTCAAGCATATTACAATAATAGAAAGTGACCAAACACCACCTTAAATTAATTACTCAATGATTGGAGGGTACAGACAATAATACTTATAATTTCATGCAATTAATTGCTGTCACCACAAGTAGGGAATAAACTGAATGTCACTTTTGGGCATGATTAGCCTTCATTAATCCAAAACATTTTCATACTTTCTAACGACACATTCTTCAAAAAATCACTATTTAAAACAATGTTCTTCCAGATTTTAAAACGCTGATGAACGGTCGTGTCTTATTCAATGTGTTTACTGACCTCAAAGGTCACAGAAGAAAGTGACTGCTGCCTTGCAAAGCTGATCTTAGAATTTGGTACAGCAGCATGAATCATACAAGATAGAGATTCCCACTGGTTCAAACTCAGTGAGTCACCAACAAACATAATCTTTTTCCCTCTCCATGTTGTAAGAAAATCCTCTCCGTCGAATCTGAATCACAACAACATAAAAAGGTTCAAATGCTTTCAAACATTGAATAATCATACAAAAACACAAACTATACATTTACCGTGGCAAGTCACATGAATCGGGTTTCCAAGAATACTTGAGGTACTGATTATCGGGTCGACCATATTTCTGGCAATCGAATTCCGGGTCTATGAAGGGGCAGCTTGAGGATTCATATAGAGGATATGAAGCATCAAACACCCATTTGCCTTGAAACAAATTGCACCCACTGGCTAACTCGTTGCCTCTGAAAATACTACTAACATTATATACCAGCTCTCCTCTTACATTTAGCACCGCCCCAGATGCAAAAACCAAAACTTGAAGAACCCAAAAACTCAAAACCATAGTGGGTTTGGTACAGAAGAAAAGCTGTTTTCAAATTCATGTACCTATGCAGCTGTGTGTGTATATATATATATATATATATATATATATGTTATTTTAAGGTTTTTTTTTTCTTTTAATGTGGGGCTGGAGTTTGTTGTAACTTATATGGATTATTGAACATATAAATAGAATAATGTATTCTTTACGTCTGAAATGAGTTGGAAAATCTTGAAAGGATCGGAGTAAGAAAAGAGTAAAAATGATGTGAGGGTGGGCCTCTGTTTTGTTGGGGACTTGTCGTCTTGGGAAATCTCCTCGTGTCTTTTTCATGTCACGGGCGTTCAGCATACAGAATGTGAAACCGTCGGCCAAACGTTCGGTTGACTCGTGTTTTCTAACGTGTTCGATGTGCCAAACTTGAAGTTACTGTTAAAAGAGAAGTTATTTATAGAATTGAATTTACTGAGTTACACGCATAAATGTCGTGGTATGCATGTGGCGGCGGAGGGTGTTTCACATTAATCGACCACAATCGATTATGTCACAAGTCCTTGTACTTGCCTCGGGNTCAATTGGAGACCTTTGCACCCTATTGATGTATTCGAGTGTGCGGGTGATGTTTAGGTGGACGGGGAGGTGGGCGGAACTTTGTTGACCTGACTTTGAGGTCAACATATTGTTTACAGTTGAATCAATAGCTGAAGACTGACGAAACTGAAGTGAAAAGGGTTGCAATATGATTTGCATTCTTAACAACCATTAATCACTAAAGCAAGTTGCCAAATGAAGAATTATTGAAATTATGACGGGACATTGACACTTTTTGTGTATGGATTTGTTAAACAAGCAATAATTCTTCATCCCAACGCAACAATCGAAACCAATTTATAGTGTGGTCGGACCACTTTTAGAAGNACCCAAGTTACGCAATCTAAAACCAATTTATAGTGTGGTCGGACCACTTTTAGAAGCAAAAACGTATGATTCTTCAATGACTTTGGGATAAAGGAACAAATTCAAATTATTGAGGAAACGGATTTTTGCATTTTTTTTAAATATCAATTTTATTTAATAAAACCTCACTTGTGGCGGAGGAATACCGTGATTACAAAAATCGTTCATTGACGCTCCACCAAAACCAACCTTATCATCTAAACGACAAACGCAAAAAATCATGTTTCATCATGAACAAGCTAAATATGACAAACGAGAAAACCAATAGAAAAATCAACTACGAATATAAGGTACTCCAAGTCGATCTAAACGGGCTAGTCCACGAGCAACTCTGGGTAAAAACAGATTTTTGTAGTTGTCCCTCTCTTCTTTTGTTAATTCATAGCAAATCCATGTCCTCATAGTTTGTGGATTTAGATCATGTTTTGGAGGGCATGGTCCCACATCCATAGATTGAATTACAATTCACTCATATAGACAAAGTTCAAACACGAGAGTAATGCAATAGAGAAACTAAAGTTATGGGTTGGAAAGCAGCCCCACGAGAATGAATCTTAGGATCCGTTTGATTATAAGAATGGAATTTGGATGGAAAGAAAACGAATTTCAGAGAATTGAATTGTTTAGAATTTTTTTCTTGGAAATGGTCAATTAATTGTATTTGATTAATATACTTTTCCACATGGAAATTACTTAAATTTTGGATCTTTTTGTGTTCGTTTGACTTTGTTTTACATGAAAATTGTCCATTAAAAAGATAAAATGTATTATAATTGGGAATAGAATTTGTTTTCATTACGAAAAAAAATAAAAATAAAAAAGTAAACTGGAAAACAAAATCCCACCAAATTGGTGGGAATTGATTTTCATAAAAAAACAAGGAAATTGAACCGTGTGAACCAAAACCAAGAAAATGAATTGTCAAAAAAAATTAATGTATCAGACTTGCTTAAAGTGGAAGATGAAAGTTCTTTTCCATTTTCAATATAACTTTTAACATAATCAAATAGGGCCTAATAGGAGTAGATTAGTCTATATTTTGACCCCACAAGACAAATGGTCTAGGTCCGCCCCTGAATATAAGGTACTCCAAGTCAATCTAAACGGGCTAGTCCACGAGCAACTCTGGGTAAAAACGGATTTTTGTAGCTGTCCCTCTCTTCTTTTGTTAATTCATAGCAAATACATGTCCTCATAGTTTGTGGATTTAGATCATGTTTTGGAGGGCATGGTCCCACATCCATAGATTGAATTACAATTCACTCATATAGTCAAAGTTCAAACACGAGAGTAATGCAATAGAGAAACTAAAGTTATGGGTTGGAAAGCAGCCCCACGAGAATGAATTTTAGGATCCGTTTGATTATAAGAATGGAATTTGGATGGAAAGAAAACGAATTTCAAAGAATTGTATTGCTTAGAATTTTTTTCTTGGAAATTGTCAATTAATTTTATTTGATTAATATACTTTTCCACATGGAAAATACTTAAATTTTGGATCTTTTTGTGTTCGTTTGACTTTGTTTTATATGAAAATTGTCCATTAAAAAGATAAAATGTATTATAATTGGGAATAGAATTTGTTTTCATTACGAAAAAAAATAAAAATTAAAAAGTAAACTGGAAAACAAAATCCCACCAAATTGGTGGGAATTGATTTTCATAAAAAAACAAGGAAATTGAACCGTGTGAACCAAAACCAAGAAAATGAATTGTCAAGAAAAATTAATGTATCAAACATGCTTAAAGTGGAAGATGAAATTTCTTTTCCATTTTCCATATAACTTTTAACATAATCAAATAGGGCCTTATTGGAGTTGATTAGTCATAATTTTATGCATTTCGAGCCAATAAATAAAAAAGTCAAATCAAATTTATTTTTTAATTAAAATAATAGAAAGGAGAATTTCTCGCTACTCGTACAACGCTACTAGGTACACGTACACTGGCCCCTTGGCACTACCATGGCCACATAGGGCATGGCCGTGGTAGTGTAGCCATTATCTATGATCGAAATACCCAAAAATTATTTTTTATTTGTACCCATCATCAATTTGTAATCACTTTGGAAGAAATTGCTTTATGTCCTTTTCACGCATGAAGAAATACTGCGACTTCACGGATAAGTTTGACTTGTCAGTGCCGGAAAACACGACTCCTAAGTTACCGAATTTGGACCATTTTGGATTTTCCTTTTACAGTTGAATTCGAGTTCATTTTGGAAAGTAATTAAATCAAAATTTTAATAATTATAAGTTGTAGATTATATAAAATGCATTGATAATAAGTGAATAATAATTGTGACCACTAAAACAAATGTAGATAAAATATATTTAGGGCGTGTCTGGAGCTGATTTTAATGGAGGAAAAAAATTGATTTTTTTTGACCATTTTTCATCAATTCTTGTGTGTTTTGTTGACTTTTATCTCTTAAATGGGGGCCCCACCTTCAGAAGCAATAAAAAATTGGCTTAAAATTGGCTGGAGACAAGCTGTTAATTTAATCTGAGCATTAGTATCAAAATTTTGTTCAAAAAATTATTTATGGGGTAATTGGCATAAAATAAGTCTATCCTTTATATACTTTTCACAAAACAATTCTATTATTTCATTTTGGTGCAATGCCTATCTGATTAAGCGAACGCTACGAAAAACAATAATGCAACCCATTTTCTCCATTAAAGCCTTGTAAACGATAATCTACCTCATCTTCAAATAAATAAAAAGAAAAGAGGAAAAAAAATTTGCAGTCATAAGTTCAAATTTTTCAAAAAGTGCAAAGGAATCCCAATTAAAAATAGTCATTGTTTGTTTCAAAAAGTGCAATTAGAAGCTTGATTCATGTACAGAAGAAAAAATCACAGAAATTCAACAGAACACACTCAGCATGTGGGTCCCGCAATTTTTTTTAAATACACGGTGTGGCCCATCATTGTGAGTATTCTGTTGAAAAATTTAGGACCCCTTTTCACTTTTTGAAAAAATTAGGAATGTAGCTGTAATTACTATTTTTTATTTAAAAATGAGAGTAAATTCGTCATTTTATAAGATTTCAATGTAGAAAATGGATTGTAAGGTTGTTTTCCGCAACGTTTGATTGATGTAAGGAGGTATTGAACCAAAATGAAAGGATATGATTATTTTGTGCAAAAGATGTGAATGATAGGTTATTTTGTGAGTGTGAAATGGGAAAACTAAATTATAAACAGAATCATTTATTTCTGGAAATTACGACACAAGCCTTGAAAAATCTCAGGGTCAAAATGATTTTTCATCTATAAATCCATCTCATTCCGTTTGAAAATTAAATGTGTGGACAACATGGCAAAATTGTGAAACAAACAATGACTATTTATTTTTTAAAATTTCAATACATATTCAAAACAATTTTGAAAAAAAAAAATTAAAAACAAAGTAAAAAGAGTAGAGTGGCTGTTAATTTTTTTTTATTACTGTATACAACAGAATGGTGGTGCCAAAACCTCGAGACCATTTGAAAAGACAGAAAAGAAAATGGCTTCCTTTTTATCAATAGGAACAAGAAATGTTTCACTAATCGATAAATTATATCTCCATCACGTTTTGCTTATTAAATTTTAAAATACATTCGAGTGATTACTAAAATTTAACATGTTGCACTTCAACACTCTTTCATCATGTTGCAAAAGTCACTGGACTTTAAAATGCGCTTGAGTAGTCACTGAACTTTAATACATTGCATGTCAGCACTCATTTACCATGTTTTGTTAGTCATTGAACTTATACCTCCATCACACTTTACACGCTGAATTTTAAAATGTTTTCGAGTGGTCACTGAACTTTATAATATTTTATGATGAAAGTTAATTTTTTTATGAGATTTGATCTAAATCAAAAAAAATGAAATAAAATATATATCGAATAGATAATGAGACTCTCAATCTAAGACGAGAATATTGATTTTGTCAAGAATATGTAAATTCTTTAGTCATCAAAAGTTATGCTCAAGGGGATAGAAGAATGCTAGTTTTAAATTGAAATAAATCTTAATTTAGATTATAATCTTCATTTACATCGAGAAAATAGAATAGAAAAATTATTCCTTTATTTTGATTGAAATAGTAGACCACAATCAAGAAAATAAAAAAATTATAACTCAAACAGACAGTAAAATTTTCGATTTAAAGTCAATAATATTAATCAGGACTAACAAAATATAATTTTTAAAATTGTCACAAGGTAATTCAATATGAAAGAATGACATCCTTTTCATGTATGATATTGTGTACTTGGATTTTTTTCAATTTTTGAACAGTTGAATTCAGTGAGCAAAGTTTAGTAACCACTCGAAATCATTTTAAAGTTCAATAAATAAAAGCGTGACCAATTTATAAGTTGAATGATTAATGAAAGTATGAAATTCGGTGAGTGAGTGATAAAGTGTAACATGTTAAATTTCAGTGACCCACTCGATAATATTTTAAAACGTATGTAACTAAAGCACAATTTGTTAAAATTTAATGACCATTTAAAACATTTTATGGTTCTGCAAGTAAAGCGTGAAGAATGACAAGAAACATTTATAACAATGATGTGTTGCAGACGCAATAATGTCAATAGTCCATTAGCTTCTTCTGGGTTGCTTTTTCATAGCTCCTTTACCCCTTTTTCTTCTCTCTTCAACCTCTTCTTTATCAGGTAATAATCAGTCGAGTTTTCAACTTTCTATTCTTATTTTTCTTACTCCATTGGTTTTAATCAATGTACTGTATGGTGCGGATGCTAGGATTTAATTTGCTGTTATTCAGTGATTCTGGTTTATGAGTTTGTGCCCTTTTGTGTTTTCATATATGCAGAATATGGAGAATTCTTTGTTTCTTTGTTGTACATTTGAGTATAATGTTAACTCTTCGTTCTTTTCAAATTTCCCCAGAACTGACATCTACTCATGAAAAATTGTTTAGGAATTTGAATCTTTGTCTTATAATTTCCACAAGCACTTCAACTAGCTAGTCTTGATGCATAAGGTGTATGAATTTGGTCAAAGACTTGGGATCTCCTTGGTTTGGAAATTAAGATAGGTTTAAGTATACTATAGTTAATGTGTGTGATTTACCCCATTGATGTTCCTTTTTTGGGCAGGAAGAAACATTTTATTTTGCTTACATATCAATAGTTGGAAATATGGTTATTGTATTTTGATATTTGGATGTTGAATTGCTTCTGAAAGGATGGCATTAAGTTTCCTGAATACTTAGCTGAGTTTCAATATGTTTTCTTTCTGGGATTGTTTTTACCCCTCATTAATGATTCCCCATATATGTTCAACATGTTTCAAAGCACAGGTTTCGTTTATTTAAGAGCTTTTTCACAAATTCTAGAGGTCTCATTTGTTCAATAAGTAAAAGTCCTCTATGGTTTGATTTACTTAAAAGAGTTAAAAGCAGGACTTACATTGATGGTTCATGCTTTTGTATTTTCTATACTATATAAAATTTGGGAATATCGAGATCCGCCAGGAACTTGGATGAGAGCCAGATTTGACATTTACAATTATTTAGCAATTGGATAAGATGGTTCCTTGGCTATGCCACAGAGACCTTCCTTATTATCAATCTCCCTTTCCATTCTGATATATCCCTCCTCACCCCAGTTTGTGCCCCACGAATTCTTCACTAACCAATACTTTGTACCATCTTCACTTGTTCCATACCCAATTGCCGTAACACTATGATCTAAGTTGGCCTTACAATCTCCAGTAAAAACACCACTCTTGTAGAACTGGAACGCCGATCCACTGGCATCAATAGCCACAGACACAGGTTGATTAGCCACAGCCTTCAATAAGGCAGTCTCACTATTAACCGGCGCATCTTCATAGCTAGTGATCTTAGCTGTCTGTGAGGCTTCCTTTTGTTTGTTACACGTACCATCGACTCCTTGACGAGGATAATTAGATTTCGTGGTGAGGCCATGGTTGTCTATTATAAATTGAAATGCATCATCCATGAGACCGTACAAATGATTATTTTTAAATAAAATAATCTTTTTTCAGTATTTCTTATTTGCCAAGTATAAACTTTAGTCTACCACATTGGTCCTGATCTTTTATTCTAGTGACAGCTCCTTTCGATCTCCAGTCTATGCTTGAGGGCAATGCGGCTACATTTTCATATTTGAAGGATGTTGTTTGGATGAGTTTTGGTGGGACAACATCTTGTATCCATTATGAGAGGCACAAAACTCTTCATTTCTCATATCAGCAAATTCGTTAATGCCTAGCATGTATGGCCGAGTTCCTGCACTGTTGAAAGACTCTATGAATTCGACATTCTCTTGGAATATCTTGAATCTCATTACCTTCTCTACATTATCTTTGTACACGCATCCATATATAGACATCCAGTGCTTGTATCTTTCAGCAATGGATGCTTCTTGAGGGCTGTGTGAAGTTGCCGGAGAAGAATATATCCTAGAGACTAACAAAAGAGCAAGAATAATTTTCTGATTAAATTGCGAATCTGTAGGTATGTAATTCACTTTGTGTGGTGCTATATTTTTGCAAGAACAAGGTATATATGGGTGAACAATTTCTTCTATTATTCTCAAAGTGGATGCATTGCTACTATGATGTGAATATCTTTTTGAGGGTTTGACAAGGAATTTCCAAGCTTAAAGGGCCCGGCAACTTATGAAAGAATAGAAACAATTCCATTTACGTGGACGTTGCTATTGTAATTGGTTTTCTGTTTTGTTAAACAATATAAGCATTTCATACGTTTGCAGTGTCTAAATTTTATTTCTATCGTATATTGATCACTAGCGTGCGTAGGCAAATTTCTTTCATTTCTTGTTTAGTTTTATCGTTTCACGTGTGCAGGGCCAATTTCAACTTCACATCTAACTCAAATTTTAAGTTAAACTGAAAATTAGGAGAATCTAAACATGGATCATTCACTGTATTTGGTTCATTTGGAGCACATTTAAACACGTGGCGTCATATCATCTTATTTAGGCAGTGTGTTTATAGGGTTCAAAACTCAATAATGGTAAACTGACACAAGGGTCGAGCTAGTTAAATGACTTAATTTAACACCTTACGACGTGAAAATATAGCGACTGTAATGTGATATTGTTAATGTGATCTTGAAGGCACTATGCTCCACTGCTTGTTCTGGCATTTAGAATGCAGTCTAGCAATATAGTTTTAATGGAGATCAAATGATGTAGCCGACGGAATATCCCTGTATGGTAGTTTCTTGAAAGCACATTTTTATGTACACGTAGGAGTTAACTTTTGACACAGATACTTGATGTGATTATTCCAATCACTAGAACCATAGCTTATATCGACTATTGATTGTGTATAAATGATATTACAATTTGTATTTACAAAAGTATGAGTAGGTATTTTTACAAACTTCGATACTGATTTGAAATTAATGAAACTTGAGGTATCCTCCGATACGTACTTGCCGAGTTCGAAGAATTGCAATTGGTTCAATGACAGGATGATTGTTAACTTTACTGGTAGATAGCTGCGCCACATGAATGTTTTCGTCCTATTTGTACGGCTTCAAAATGGAGACATGGAACATAGGATAAATCTTGACGTGTTCCGATAAGCAAACACGGTATGCTACAGGTCCCACTTGAGCCTAAATTGGAAACGGTCCATAGAATCACTTGTTGAGTTTGGTATAAGGTTGCTATGATAATGTAGTCTGCCAGTAAAGTCGCAGCTTTATCAACACCATATCACCTACTTTGAAATGTTGTTCACGCCTATGTTTATCAGCATATTGTTTCATTCTGTTCTAGGCGTGTCTTAGATGTATTTTCAATTCTCTTAACAACTGGTCTCGTCTTTTCAAGGTTTCTTCCACGGCTTCCACGACAGTATCTCGCCTTGAGCAAGGTAACAAAGTGGTGGGGGTCGACCATAGACCACCTGAAAAGGCGTAGTTTTGATTGAAGAATGGTATGCGGTGTTGTAAGAGTACTCTGCCCAAGGTAAATATTTATGCCACTGTGTGGGATGATCAAAGGTGAAGCTACGAAGATACTGTTCCAGCCCCCTGTTTGTGACTTCCGTTTGGCCATCCGTTTGTAGGTGGTATGCGCTACTAAACATCAACTTACTTCCACTCAGGCGAAATAATTCTCGCCAACATCTGAAAACAAAAATGGGGTCTCGGTCACTGATACCATGCAATTTACAAATATTTTGAACAAAGGTATTGGCGACCATCGTGGCATTGAAACCAGTTGGAAGGAAAGTAAAGTGGGCATACTTTGACAATCGATCTACTACCACCATAATGGATGTAAACCCATGAGATGGCGGAAGCCTCACAATGAAATCCATAGTCAAGTCTTCCCATATTTGTACCGGAACCTCATGCGGTTGCAAGGTGCCTGCAGGAGCTAAAGTCTTATATTTAGTCTGTTGACAAACAAGGCATGTTTGGACAAAATGCTTAATATCTTTTCGCATACGTGGCCATTCAAATTGTGATTGTACACGAGCAATAGTGCGGAATATACCATTATGCCCACCAACAGGTGTGGCATGCAACTTTTGAATGATGTCAAACTTGTGGTTAGATTCCGAGCTCACCACGATACGTCTTTTGTGCCAAATCAATCCTTGGTGTATCCGATGTAGGGAAAAGGCTGCACCATCTTGGGCAATGGCTTGCTGTAATTGAATGAGGCTAGGTAGTTGATTAGTCTAATGTTTCAATTCTTCAAAAAGTTGGCTACTTTGATGTGCCAACGTCAACAACATTATTGGCACTTCGGAAGTAGCATTCTCTTCATCCTTTCTACAAAGAGCATTTGCCACATGATTGCTGGCTCCCAGAGTGTAGACAATTTCAAAGTTGAAACCAATTAATTTAACAAGGAATCTCAGTTGCTCCAGTGTTTGAATTGTTTGTGACATCAATTCCCTAATACTTTTGCGATCAATTTTGATGAGAAATTTTCTGCCCAAAAGATGTTGACGCTATTTAGCCAACACTTCTGTAATTGCATACAACTCGCGAACATAAGTGGAAGCTTGCTGCATTTTGGGATTTACCTTTCAGCTGTAATATGCAATAGGATGTGAAGCTTGAATCAAGACAGCTCCTATACCAACCCCTAATGCATCAGTTTCTATAGTAAATGGTTGCTCGAAGTTAGGTGAAGCTAGCACTGGAGCCTAGATCATGGCTTATTTTAATCGTTCAAAGGCTTCGCTAGCGGCTGGAGACCATTGGAAAACATCTTTTTGAAGTAATGACGTAAGTAGAGCGGCTATGGTTGCATAATTCTTTACAAAACGACAGTATTAACCAGTAAGACCAAGGAAACTGTGAAACTGTCAAATATTTACTGGTGTTTTCCACTGTAACATGGACTGAGTCTTGGAAGTTTCAGAAGGAACCCCGCTGGCTGACACGATGTGGCCTAAATATTCAATTTGATTCTGTGCGTACTTGTCTTTGCTCATCTTAGCATACCAGGAATTGTCTTTTAAGCACCCCAACACCAGTTATAAATGTTCAACATGATTATTTAGTGTTTTACTATACACTAAAATATCATTAAAAAAAAACAATCACAAATTTTCTCAGGAATGGTTTGAGCAAGCTGTTCATAACAGACTGAAATGTCGAAGGCACATTCATGAGGCCAAAAGGTATCACAACAAATTCATAGTGACCCTTGTGAGTTCTAAATGCCATTTTGTGAATGTTTTCAGGCTTCATTCATATTTGATGGTACCCAGCGTGGAGATCAATCTTGGAGAACACCGTGGCTCCAAAGAGCTCATCTAATAACTCATCCACTGTAGGAATATGAAACTTATCGGGTATGAAATTTTGATTGAGAGCTCTATAGTCTACACAAAATCGCCATGTACCATCCTTCTTTTTTACCAATAACACGGGACAAGAGTAAGGACTTTTACTCAATCTTATTACTCTATAGGCCAACATTTCTGCTACAATTTTTTCCATTTTTCCCTTATGGAAATGGGGTACCGATATGGTCGCAAGCTTATTGGTTTTGCTCTAGGTATAATATGAATTTGATGATCATTGTCCCGTTGAGGAGGTAAAGCCTCAGGGTTTTCAAAGACGTTCTGATTTCTGATTAGAACATTTTGTATCTCCTCATTCATCCCAGTCATCTCGCTTTCTAACTCTTCTCCAGATTGTTCCATTGCGGTTAGCTGATAACAACACATGATAGCATCAGTTGTAACCAGTGTCCTTAGTTGGTTAAAATGGATGGCTATAGGAGCAATGAGGGACTGGCCCTGGAGCTTTACTTGTTGTCCTTTCCACTGAAAAGACATGGTCAGAGCTTTGTAATCCATCACTACTGGTCCCAGTAGTTCAAGCTATTGTACTCCTAACAAAACATCTGCCCCTCGTATTGGTAAGATGTGGAAATCAACTAAATATGAGTGTTGCTGGATCTGTATTGGAAGCGGCGGGCAACGTCCTGTGCAAGCCATGGACTCTCCATTCCCAACCAATACAGAAAAGTGTTTGGAGGGGAGAATGGAAAACTGTAAGTGTTGAACTAGCCGTTCTTAGATGAAGTTGTGAATGGAGCCTCAATCAATTAGAATTTGAACTTCCCGTCCTGTGATTGTCCCTGTAAATTGTAGGGTGCGAAGAAAATGCTGCCCCAGCCATAGCATGAAAACTGATTGCCGGCGGTAGTTCATCGATCATATTCTTACTTTTTGGGGACCTTTCCAATTGCAACAACTAATTGTGATCCAAATTCTCCTCATCGTCGAGCATCAATACAAAGAGTTTGGCCTTACATTTATGCCTCTTCCCAAATTTCTCATCACAGTTAAAACACAGCCCCTTTTCCCTTCATTCCATCATTTCAACTACCGACAATCCCTTAACCGGTATACTCGAACTCTTAACATTAATCAAGGCATTACTTGGAGGAATTTTGGGAATAGGTTATAGGAGTGGATTTGGATGTGGTTT